TTTGGTGTTTCTATACCGAGTATTATAAACGTAAGAGTAAACAAATATGATCAGAATGCTCCGAACTGCTAAGCTATCAGGAGTTACACGTGTTATTGTGAGTCAACCATAAAAGATAGACATATGCTGTTGCGGGATATGTTTTAGACAATTTTATGTAGAATATTTCCGTCATACATAATTTCTATGTAACTTTAACCATTAAGGCTGCACACGCCACGGAAGCTTAAAAAATGGAGTAACTTCTCCCGTTTTCCCAACATTTCCCTTCACTACTCTGCTCCTATTGATTGTAGCGTGATGAAAAGTATACTTTAACCTGCCCAGGAGTATGAAGAATAATTGTACCAAGTTTCGTTAAAATCCGTCGAGTAGTTTTTGTTTCTATAAGGAACAAACACACAGACAGACAGACAGACAGACAAAAATTTTACTGATTGCATTTTTGGCATCAGTTTCGATCACTAATCACCCCCTGATAGTTATTTTGAAAATATATTTCATGTACAGAATTGACCTCTCTACAGATTTATTATAAGTATAGATTTGCATATAACAATGATTATTTTAAAATTTGGTGTATTAGATTCAGTCTTGGCGGTTTTGTTTTAAGCTTTGGTGGACAAATTTCAGTTTTGGTGGCAGTGCAAAACCATCAAAGGTAACCATCAAAATATGTGAATTACTAGGTGTGATTATTGCTACGGTTCTCAGAAAAATATAAAAATTTGCAATTATATGCTCCATTTTACAATATTTTAGCCCTGATTGTTTTAAAAAGAGAACAAAAATTTGCGCCCTAAATCTTGATGTTGATATTGGTCCCTTACCGTTATAATATTGTTCATGACAAGCACTATTATTATGTTTTTTTTTTCAGATTTTTCAAGCTAATAGCTTTAAGACGTGGGGGGAGGGGGGCTACTCGAATAAAAAGCGCTTTAAAGTTTAAATTTGCAAAACCGATTCTTTTCTTTCTTTCTTTCTTTTCAAAAAACCCGACTGCTAAAATATTACTTCATATAAAAACTAAAAATAAAAAAAACAAGTCCAGTGGTCTATAATTCTGTTAAGTAAGGAACAAAGCTACTTTAACAGTCGGGACCCATTAGATATACAAGAATGGATAAAATTTTTCAATAATGGGTCCCGACTGTTAAAGTAGCTTTGTTCCTTACTTAACAGAATTATAGACTACTGGACTTGTTTTTTTTATTTTTAGTTTTTATATGAAGTAATATTTTAGCAGACGGGTTTTTTGATTTTTAAATTTATAATTTTTATTTCACACTTTTTAGTATTATAAGATGGCATATACCGTAGTCTTATCACTTAAGTAAGGGAATTAATATGGCGGGAATTATTAAGTACCTTGCGGTGGTTTTAGACCGATTGATTTATTAAGTCATAGAGGCCTTACCAGCAGGGTCAGGGCCTCAATTTTCGCAAAAATGTGTGAAGTTACTCGTAAATCAAGTCGTTACTTATATATCTAATGCCTGTAAATTTTATAATTAACTATAAATTATTCAAAAAGAGTTCATTTGCTTATGTTCTTTTTAGTAGTATAGAAGTAAATATAAAACTCATTTACTTTTATTCGTCGACTATCTAAAATTGGCAGTGGCTGCATTATCATATCAACGTTCGGCTCTAAGATTATGATATAGTCTGATCTAGTCTCATAATATGATAGACGCCAGACCAATCAATAACGTTAATGTCGTAGGTTGACAAAAGGAATAATTCCCATCTGTTGTTTTGGACACTGGTGGTAACTGCCTTAGATCGCTACATTAAATAATTATGCAATCACCAAAGCAAAGTTTATAATATTTGAATGTGCAGAATATAATTTTCATAGCGTTAGGTACAGCACCATAGCAATCCCATTTATTATCAATTTATCACCCAATGTATAGATTTACATTTATGTCGTTCTTTTATAAAGCGTTCACCAGTTACAGGTCGAAGACTTTCTGGTCTACCCTTTTTATTGGTAGTGTAAAGCTTGAATGAAGAATACTTCCACCTATCAATCAGGCTGCTACCAGCCTAGTAGGTATTACAAATGGTGCAATCATAAAAACATTTTTTTCTACCTATAGGCAAAATAAGAATAAGTATGCATAAATTACCGAATAACGAATCACTGTTTACCAAAAATGCTCAGTAACTTTTACCAATATAATCAAATAAACCTACTACTTACTTTATTTTTAAATCTTTTGCATCAATTGCATATTATTATCCTAACTATCTATACTAATATTATAAGGAGGCAAGAGTTGTATGTTTGTAACAAATAATCTCTCAAACTACTGAACCGATTTCGAAAATTTATTCATGATAAGGTAGCTACATTATTTATTATTATATTTTCAAGCATTAATCTCAATATCGTTAATTAATCTGCTCGATTTATAACTCTAAAGAAATTTTTTTGTTGAAAAATTCCACTCTGACAACTTCTTGAGAGGAATTTTTTCTTGTATTATTTTATGTAACTACATTTTATCTAAGTGACATAGGCTATATTTTATCCCGTTAAAATAAATTTCGCCCGTGGTGGATCACTAGTAAGTATAATATAATATTATAGATGCGAAACTGACTTTGTTTTTTACACTTCCGCGCCCTAATAGCTAAATCTATTACGATGAATTTCCCTATAGAATTAGATGAGCCTTGGTTCTAAGCTACAATATCGCAATACTTACATGCATAGGGTGATGGAATGGGTGATTAAGCTATAAAACTTTATATTATTTACTTAGTATTTTGCAGAATTATCTATCGTTTATAATTACAAAACCAACATTACCGCGAAAATTAATAAATACAGGGAGCCATTAAATATGTACCTGCTAGCGAAAAATAGGTTATTTCTCATTATGTTAAGTAACCCTTTTTTTGAAACATGATGTAATATCGTTAAAATAAACTTTAATAAAAACAGTATAATTCTGAGATTTTCATTAAATTACAATAATCATAAATACCTATTATGATAATTTATTTTCTATCATTTAATAAGAAGGAACTGTATCACAGTTTTATTATAAGTACTTCGTATAGGATTAGATACTGTCAATAGCCCATTTTTTTCTTTTTCGCCTAGGTTTTATCTACGATTATAAACACCATAACTATGGCCGTAATCTACTACTGCATAGTACACGCGCTATCACTTTTCATCGTTGCAACTTTTTAAATATTTGTCGAAATGCCATAGTGTAAAAGGCAAACTTTATCGTCCTTAAAAGTATTTATTTTGATAAAAAATAATTTGTAAATACCAAATGTGCATTTTGGAAATGGACATCAATTAATATTTTATTTTAGATTCACTATTTTAGCGATAATGGCTTGTACATTAAAAATACATGTATGGTGTCGCGGACTTTTTTGTAGAACTTTTTAAGAGATACATTTTCACTATACATTAAATTCATGTAACTTTTATTGTTTTTGCAATGTAGGCCGAAATGGCTCGCAAATGGGAGTTTTTTTCCGTCTTACATGACTCTTGTTGTTATATTTTGGCCAATTCACTCAATGACTCCATAAATAATTTTCTATATGTTATTAGCATGTATGAGCTATATTATTGTAAAGTTTCATTAAAATCCATTCAGTATTTTTTAGGTGAAACAGTAACAAAGTTCCATACAAACGTAAGATTGAAATTAAAAGCGCAAGTGGTTAATATACAACTTTAAATCGTTGTAGATTCTAAACAGTCATATAAAATGAAAAATAGTGTAGGGAGCCTAAACATGATTTTCGATTATCTATACAATGATACCCCACTCGACATATTTCGTCAACTTATTTTTTTTACTTCGTCACAATATGGCGCCTAATTGTCCCCATATTGAATTTTGATTACTATTATATCTTTGGTAGCACTCCCATGATTAAGACGAATCGATTGATGCATGAATCGTCAAAATCGGTCCACGCGTTTGGTCTCTAGTGTGCCACAAAGGAACAAACATACATATATAGACTGTTAAACACTGTCTGCGCGTCGCGCTTCGCGCTCTTGCATTGCGCAGTCGGGTAAAAAAACTTTATATATTGGGGAGTTGCCCTTAAAAATAATTATAATTATTATATTAGAACGTTGGTATACTGTTTTCTCGAAAATATGTTGAAAAACTTTGTGTGACATTCGACTCGTCACTATAGTATAATCCCTCGACTTCGTCTCATGTCTTACATTTGTCTACTCGTTTGTAATAATAACCAACACACCGCACTAATATCATAAATAATTATTTAAAAAAATATTTTACCGCTTTGTCGGCGTGATTGTATACGTAACTTCACAAAATCACAGCTCTCTAGTGCCAACAGTCTCGAATCAAAATCTCGAACGGACAGGCAGACAGACGGACATGACGAAAATTTATGGGTTCCTTGTCAGGACTACAAAACCCCTAATAAAAAGGAACTCTTGGTTTTTGCCGGTATATTTTCGGAACTATCCGTCAGATGGCGCCGTTGGCTTTCAACATCGCGTATTGTTTTTCTTCTCAGCGTCAGCATAAGACCTTTGCTAATCTTACACGTGGTGTGCCTACTAATACTAAATCACCTTCCTGTTGTATTGTAATCACATAACTTATCAAGAAGTGTTTCTACAATTTCATACAATTTTTAGAACCGTTTTTACGGTAAATTAGTTATGCCAAATCTACGGATTTGTTCATAGATCTGTGGATTCTAGTGTCCGTGTTAATAGGTCGACCTTGAGATACTGTTTTCATACAAAAAGCATCTAAGGTCACACTTAGAGTTGAGAGCGATCTATTCTTGGACTCAGCAATCTTACGAATCCCTCGGCCATGTCGTCTTTCCCGCTCAAGTGACCTGCCCATCTCCACTTTAGCCTTACCACTTGCAATCACTAACCTGACGTCGGAAAAAAAAGCTTTACTCATTTGAACCTTGGACAGTAAAAACAAATTTTACTAAAACTAATGATTTTGCAGGTTCTGCCTGAATACACGGAGTCACTGGAATCTAGAGAACGGGAGTCAAGACAACTATCAGTCCAGGTATGGTCGATGCATTTAAAGTTTTAAAAAAAAAACAGGACAAATGCTAGTGGGATTTGCCCACTTCCGTTTCGTAAAAAATGGATTGGTGTTATTTTTATATAAAAAAAATTGTATTCACACAGCAGATTCTTTTTTACCGTTAACTTAGAAGTTTAGTTTTTTTCACAATTTCAACGGACCACAGACCTGAGTTTAAGAACAGGTTTGAATTTCAACTTTATCGAAATTTATCTTGAGAACGCGTTAAACACCTTAGGGTCTCGACAGACGGACAACAAAGTTAACCTATTAGGGTTCCGTTTTTTTGCTTTTGATTATATAACATATATAACACATTCCAGAATAAAATTAAGATAAGAAAAAACATCAGTTTTGAATACAAATAGATTAAAATCGACAATGTTTCATTACCGTTTTAATAGCTTATTAGAAAAAAGAAAAATCCAGAGATATTATTAGATAATACTAACTTAACGTAACTATGGCAAACCCTTTCATTTTTTATCTGATAGAGGTTTTTCTACGGCGCCGTACTGTTGCCGCACTCTTTTTATAGATAAGTTTCTCTTATATTGTTTTAATGTCTGCGCAGTTACACGAGCTAGCTTATTATGAAAGTTCTGCTGCTTTTTGTCGCGTTTCAAATAATGAGCGATAAAGCTCTTTCTGTTCGTAAAAAAACACACAAAAATACAAACTGACTTAGCAAAGACATCTTATCCTTTAATCTTAATCCAGATAGAAATCTTTTCTAGTTTAGTTTTCTTTAGAACCAAACAACTAGCAGTTAAATGAAAACATAAAAAAACAGAAATCTTATCCTTTTCCTCCATCTAAAATACATTAAAAAAATTATTAATATTATTTGAGTTGCCGTTCACTGCTAGGGTAGGCTATGCTATCAGCTCCAAATGTTATTATTTTTACTTTAAGTTCAGACTTCAGTAAAAGATAAGAATTATGTCTTAATTATAGTGTTTTTAACTAATTTTAGAGGGAAGCTTTAATTACATCGCCGCAAATTGTTTCGTCCATCTTAAGAATGTCGCAATACATTTTTAATTATTATTAAAATAAACCAGACCTTATTAACTAGCTTCGGTGGTTCGGTGAAAGAAAGCTCGCCTATTACGCGAGCGGCCCTGGTTCGATTCCTATCCGAGGAACTTTTTTAATAATTTTAAAAAATTTACTTGCTACTTAGTTTCTTAAAACCACACCATTTTTTATTGTTTATCGTTAAGTCAATGCACTATAAATTAAGTTTAGGTACTTCGCCAGCTTTCATAGCATAAGTAACAGTAGGAAAGGTGGTTTTAGCTAAGGATCAAACTTAGTCCGTTGGTATAAATTTCCTTTGTTATCATTCGATTTGGTAAAACCGTGTTGGAATAACCTCCACGTTACAAACCTAGTGCCTTAGACAAGTGGCCATATATCTACTCTACCAAACGCTGCCGCTAACTTTCAAATGTTTAAAAATAAGGCTCAGGCACTACTTCTACCGTATTTGTAAGGTTTTACCCCTTTTAGACATGATTAAATACAAAAAACCGCAAGAAATCACAACAACAAACAAATCCGTATCAATACAAAACTTTGACGTTTTACAGATTGCTGGGTTTGATTGCCAAATAAAAATCTAAATGTTAATTCCGTTTTTCGCCACACCCATTCTATTTCCGTACAGACTCTACCCAATCTTTGATTAGTTTTTTAAGATGGAGAGGTAAGGCATAGCGGAATTTCTGCTTAAATTGGAGAACCTATATAGACGGTCATGTATACGCTCAGGCACAGTGATATAACTTTACCTTTGGAAATGTTATGTTCCTGTCGGTTAATGAGGTTTCCAGTGCTCCACGAGGTAGGGCTCCAGGGTAGGCAAAACGCGACTGATAACCTGGTTTCGCACTTATGTAGTGGCCGCTTACCATATTATGCATGTTAGCCACCCATATTACACAAAAAAAATTAAACAAGTTTCAACGTTATAGATGCACTGATTTATTTATTTATTGACGTTTCGTATCCTTTTCAGGATGCGTCGTTTGAATTGCAAAATGAAACAAGTTTCAACGGTATAGATGCTCTGATTTATTTATTTATTGACGATTCGTATCCTTTTCAGGATGCGTCGTCTGAATTGCAAAATAAAACAAGTTTCAACGGTATAGATGCTCTGATTTATTTATTTATTGACGATTCGTATCCTTTTCAGGATGCGTCGTTTGAATTGCAAAATAAAACAAGTTTCAACGGTATAGATGCTCTGATTTATTTATTTATTGACGATTCGTATCCTTTTCAGGGTGCGTCGTCTGAATTGCAAAATAATAATAATAATAATAAATATTTCCGACACTCACACCAATTAGCCTAGCCCCAAAGTAAGCATTATAAGGCTTGTGTTATGGGATGCTAGGGTAACGGATAGAATACATATACTGTACATATATAAGTATATTTATATAAATACATATTAAACATCCATGACTGGAGTACAAATGCTCGTATTCATCACACAAACATCTGCCCCCACCGGGATTCGAACCCGGGACCTCTCGAGTCGGCGACAGCCATGAAACCCGGCGTACAAACCACTCGGCCACGGAGGTCGTCAATAAAATAAAACAAGTTTCAACGGTATAGATGCTCTGATTTATTTATTGACGTTTCGCATCCTTTTGAGGATGATCCTGAAAAGGATGCGAAATATCAATAAATAAATAAATTAGTGCATCTATAACGTGGAAACTTGTTTTATTTATTGAGTGGTGTGCGTGAAAACCTAAGAAACAAATAGGATAATTTTAGATTATTGCTTAAGTTTATACTTATATAGTTTAAAAGTGAGCGTTAGCGTGTAACTTTCCATTAATCGACAGAAATGTGGCCACTTGTCTATGGCACTTAGTCTCTACTTAATACCTCGAGGCCTACTCTAATTCAACGAAAAACTAGATTTCGATCGAAACTTCGCACTTTTCTTTATATGTTTTGGGTTCGTTTTTAATATAATATTCGTCGTCGGAATTTAGATTGAGGTTTAGATTTTCTAAGCCTACTCAAAGAAAGCTTCAATTTGAAGCATGAAAGCTAAAATTCGACGAAATTAAATTTCGTTTGAACTTCGTTATCGAAAGTTCGTTTCGGAAAAAGAGAGTAGACCCCCAGGTTGAGTGGAATTCGCCGGAGCTTGTGTAATTTCTAGGAGAGCGCGTTATTATGTCGGCATGAAGTTAATGCGAATTAGGAGGATTTGTAACACATTTTTATTGGTTGAAAATGGTCGCTTTACTTGCCGAACTTCATATCATATGCACAGAATATTTACAGTTATATAAAATCTTTTACACAAGGATCTTTTTAATCTTTTCGGGTACGTTAAATCAATGGAAATGTATTCTAATTCTGTTACCAATGTGTAGTTACGAAGAGAAGAAGGGTAGGGAAGGGAAGGGTCAGTATCCATAACGTGTCTTTCTGGGGGCCTACCGCTTTAGCAATAGCCAAAGCAATCCTAATAGGCATTTTGTTTTTTCTGACCGCCAAAGGTTTTTTCAAATAGGCACTTAGCACTCATTTTCTTTAATAATTTTATTACCAATCCATAAAGAGCGCGAGAAATTTTGAAACCCTTCGACAGTCAGAAATAACAAAATGAAATCATAAGCTATAGCAATAACCAAAGCAATCCCGATAGGCGGTAGGCCTCCTGATCCAACTACTGACCTCTTTTCATGTTGTTATCAACAGAAGCACTACCCGATTTGCCATTTGGAGAGAACCATTCGCAAGCTAAACACGATCGACTATGAATACAGGCCGGCGTACTATGAGGAGATCAAGTGCAGTTCCACTAATGCAGACGAAGTAGGCTCGTACAGTGAGGTTCGTATAACAATTTTTCTCACATGTTTCTAGGATAAAAAATATTTGGACCATGGGCGTATTGAGCCTAGAGCGAAAAGCATGTCTCAGGGCGGTTGGCTGCGAAGGACAGCGAAGAGTCCAATTTTGATCACTTTCTAAAGAGTTAGAGATTATTAAAGGGCGGGTAACCTTAGATAGAAGGCCGGGGCAGAAGTTTTTTAAATACGATGCATGTTACAATCACTTGTGAATTTCAAAACCATTGGTTCGCAAATTAACTTAATGTATTAATACAATGTTTTCCATATTTTTTGGGGTAAAAAGTGTCATAATTACATCCTATCCGTTTGACCATAATCCCGTAATCAGGTGACAAACTTTTACATTTATTCGCTTGTGGTTGGTTCATGAGGGCTTCATCCACTATAAGCCGTTAACATGACTTTACTTTGCCCATGCCATTCACCAGAAGGCCTGCTACAGTTCATACTATTTTATTAGCCCTATTTCTAATTTGCGGTGCTAGCTTTTGTCATAGGTTTTTCACTGCTTCGATGGTCGTCGTTACAATGATGTCATTTGTCTTGTCGATAGGTATAATACCACATATTAGGTAGCATGCTTGTAAACAAGCTTAACGTCTCGTCGACGTCAAGATGATTCCATTTTGATAAGCAATTTAATATTTAAGCTTTTAATGGTGTCGATTCCGGCGTGATTATCTAAACTTAAAACTAAATTTAACATCAGTCTCACCTTAGAGAGAAGGACAAGGATGCACTGTTGTCAAATTTAAGTTTAGCTTTAGAGAATCATGCCAGAATCGACATCAATATGTTTCTGTTATAATAATATGGTTTTTTATATTATACTGTTTATTTATTTATTTTTTTATACTGTTATTGTTACAGATTTGCACAAGCCTTGGGTTTTCGTGCGTACAGTGGAATAAAACAATACATTTGACTAGAAGGCCTTACAACAGGTAGGCACATGCTAATAACACAATTTAGGCCAACTTTTTTTTGCGGATCAATTAGCTTCGCCCCAGAGTAAGCACTGTAAGGCTCGTGTTATGGAATACTTGGTTAACGAAAAGAATACATAACTGATTATTAAATAAGTAAGTATATTTTACTAGCTTTGGAGCTGTAAAGTTTTTGAGTGGAGAGTAAATGTAGGACGCCCTGAGACAAAAATGGGATGATGACATTAGTAGGCTGGCTGGAGTGGGCTGGATGAAAGTGGCAGAAAATCGTGAGCAGTGGCGTGCATTAGGGAGACCTGTGTCCAGCAGTAGACGAGTATGGGTTGATGATGATGATAGTTTATTAGAAAAACAAAAACATCCATAACTTAGGAACAATTTCCAAATGATCAATAATCACACAAACATTTGCCCTACCAAGATTCGAACCCTCTGAGTAGGCGACACATTGTGAACGCTACGGAGGTCATCATCTGAGGCACGAATTTTAACGGCTGCGTAATCGTATGGCATCGTAAAAGTTTCCATGAAAACTAAACAATGCCCTGGATGTAAGAACAAACTGCCTCCATTGATACAACATTTGACGATGACGAGACGATCACGGGGCTGACAAAGGACATGGCTAAGAAACTGCCCTTAACGTGTATAATTATTTCGCACTAACCTAAAACATTATAATATTAGTTTATTAATTTAAACGTGTTTATTATTCTCATACAACTTCCGTGAAATAATCAAATTATAAAAGTATAAAAAATTAAAATGTTCCGTTTAACAAAAACAAATGAACAATAAATGTGCACAAAAAATATTTGTGTAAGTATATCGAGATAAACAATATTAATTCCGAACTCCTAAAAACTGTGACATATTTGACCCCAATTTTTATTATAAAAAATCACTGAAGGCCTAAAATAATAGATTTTAGTTTTCTGATCAGGCTGTAGATAATGCTGTAGGATAATTAATCCTTTGAAGGATCTTGGCGTGATCATGGATAGCGAATTGCGATTTGGGGCGCATATCGATGCAGTAGTTACTAAAGCAGCACGTATGTTAGGATTTTTGAGGCGCAATACAAAGAAATTTAAACTGGTTTCTACTAAAATCGTTTTGTTTAATGCGCTAGTCCGGAGCCATCTTGAATATGCTAGTGTGGTGTGGTCTCCATTTTATGCAGTGCATTCTCAGCGAGTTGAAGGGATACAGCGTTCTTTTACAAGACACTTGGCATTCTTTTCTCAAGGCATTTCTCATAGATCTTGTTACGATCACCGTTTGAAATTTTTCAAAATGAATACCCTGCGAGACCGTCGTAAACTTCACGACATGACATTCTTATATAAAGTTGTAAACAATGGTCTCACTTGCGAAGATCTTTTATCGCGCATTGCACTTAATGTGCCACACGCTGTCCCGCGATTTCCTATCACCAGACAATTTTATACTCCACGCTGTCGCACTAATATTGGTCTGTCCTCTCCAATAGTAAGAATGTGTAACGAGTACATGTTAAATGGTATTTCGGGTGACCTGGACATCATGCACGACTCCTTACTTTCTTTTAAATCTGGAGTGTTGAAATCACTTGCCAAATGAATTAATTTTAATTGTACCTAATGCTTATTTTGCTTAACCGATTTCATGATTTTTCGATTCACTGTATTCTTTTAATTTTAATTTGGATTTTTAAATGGTTGTAAAATACAAAATACTTTTTTATTCTTAGCTTCATTTTTCTAAAGCATTCCGCGATTCAGTAAAAACAAAAAATGGCCAGCTTTGAAAGTCTATGCGCAAAATGACAGATGAAACAAAACGCATATAAAACCTGACCAATAATATATGAGGGACCCCTCTTGACAATCCTCAAAGTCACTGTAATACCCGCCATACACACTACGAGAAATCGTTACGAGCAGTTCGAACGGTACAGTTTATACGATTTCGTTTACTATAGGAAACTGTGCAGTTTTATAACATACACGCTACGATTTATCGGTACCATTCGGACTGTACAGTCTAATCGTAACGATTTATCGTAGTGTGTATGGCGGGTATTACGTTTTGCAGTGTTGGCAGCTATTTCATTACTTCTGTGTTGTTCGCTCGAAATGTCTTTAAAAAATGCCAAAACAAATTGTATTTAAACAATATGCCGTGTAGGCAATAATACGTTATTTTAACGATTCGTATTTAAGTGATTATGAATGTATAAATAGCAAATAAAAATACAGAAATGGAAAAATATATTTATAAAGAGATGAAGACACAAGTCTGAATATCCTCAACACATATCCAACTATAAAAAAAAGTGTTTTTACGGTACAACACTTGTCTCCCGAGTTCAGCACCAGTGTAAAGGCTATTTTCGCATGGTGGTATGATTATGGGTCCACACAGACGCAACATGTCAGATGCTCTCTTTGAAGAGCTTGTGATTTTAAAATCTTTAACAAATAAAGGAAACCAGTAATTTTACCATAAAGAATTTTATTTCAATAAAGTATTTTGAAAATACATATTTAGTATTTAAATACAAAAGGCAAAAGTATTTTGTATCTTGCATTTGAAATACTCTATTAAAAAAGTATTTGCATTTTGTATTTAAATACTTTTCGAAAAGTATTTTATACATCTCTGCAAGGTAATGACGTTATACGATTTTTTATAATTTTCAAGATTGTGACTTTAACAAAATAATCAGCCATACAGCATTAAATATTACTAAGTACAATATTTATACATTGCTAGGGCAGTCCCTCATACAAAACTTTACCATATCCTTTAGCGCCTTCGCCAAAGGCTTTAGTCGTCTTAAGAGACTACCAACGAGACCGAGAACACGTTAACCACTGTGCTATGTGCTATCAACCTATGAAGCTCCTCAAAGCATAGGATATAACGACTTCGACTTCCGTGTCGGAGTGGTATGTAACCCGGTTTTCAAGGTCGCCTACTCAGAAGTCTTGATTTCGAATCCCGTTGAGGCAAATGTTTGTGTGGTGAATACGAGTATTTGTACTTGAGTCACACCTGTTTATATAAATTTATAGCTAGGTAGACAAATGACTCTGCCCCACACCTTATGTTAAGTGGTGATAGAGTCCAGACGCGAAAATAGCTGGTACAACACTTATAAACTGCCACACCAACCATCCTCACCTTGCCGGCCTGCAGAAACGCTTCTTCACGCCTCTCTTGAAGGACCCCAGATTTTAGGATTGTATTTCTACAAAATATACTTGTATATTTATAGGCTAATTGGTGTAGTGTTGGAAATATTTCAGTGTAGTGTAAAGAAGCTAGATAGCTCAGGTGTTAAGCGCGTTGATGGTATCAAGGTTAAGCAATTTTCTCTATGGCCGGTTATTGGATGCGAGACCAAAACTTATTAAGTTGAGCTCCACGATGCTTCGGAAGACATGTAAAGCCGTTAGTCTGCTTCATCTGCAGTCGTTAGCACCCTCCAATCCACGTGGTGGGACACTGCCCATTCTCCCTATGCCATTCATAGGGAAGGGTTGTGTCCCGGCAGTGGGGTCACTAATAGACACTTTTATCAGTTATCTTAGTATCCCATAAGACCAGCTTACTTTGAGGCCGTTCATTGTTAGAGGATACATTGGCTAGATCCTTAACGAAAATTAACCTAACACCCCCCACTCCAACCGGCACAGCGGTGCGGCGTTGAAAGCCGTGCATCGTCTAATGTCGTTTTAGTTCGGCAGACTTCTGCACGGTGTTTGTGTGCATACGACTAGACGTATGCGTGTAGACTAGCTGCTAACTGCTTATAACTGATTCTATCTCTTTAAGACACAATGCTTTTTTGGCCGCGTCCACGAGTGATTTCGAGCCCGCGACTAGTTGAACCTTAACGTGCGTTTATATGGTACGACCACGGAGTACCCCCACTAGAGTCCGCATCACGCAAATTTTGTTTGAAATCAAAATCGCCAAAGTCGGCGGCGTGCAGGGAGATCAGCCGCGTTGTGATTGGACACGTCAAGGTCAGATGATATACTCAGTGCAGCGAAGTGATGAGGGTAAGATCGATTTTAGAAAATATCGATATTTTCTATCGATAAATAAAGGACACCCGGCATTATGTGCCAAAGTTGTATACTTTTTTAATTTTTTTATCTGTGTTTCATAATTGGGTAACGTAGTCTGGCAATATTTGTCATCAGCAGCTAGCTGTCAATGTCAAATACGTAGGTTTGTCAATATAACCTCTATATGTAGCCGGGTCGTCAAGAGAAATAACGGATAAAAAGGCAATCACAGCAGAGAACATTCACAATCACAGTACGCGGGAGCGAATGATTTTTTTGTTTGTATTTTAGGATTGTCAAATTGACATTTGGTTTTTATTTAGAAAAAGCAAAGGAATCATGGTTTTTACAGTCACTTGAGTAATATTTTCAAGTAAAATTCTGTCCCTTGAAGATTTAGGGTTTCCATATCAAAAAATATTAATCATTATATAACTTCTTTCCACGATTCACTAAAAATAAGGCAAAATTAGTTTTATGTAGCAAATAATTTTGGCTTCATTTTGAGACCAAATTCAACTGTATACAAGTTTAGCATTTTTTCTATGAAAAGTGCCGGATCTCCATTGTACAGAGGCCTAGTACTTTGGTGCGCTAGTGTAGCTATGCGCAAACATACTCTCTCCACTTTCTTCCAGCGTTCTAATTACATGACGCGACTAGTAACTACATACTAAATAAAATATAAGCAACACAAAAAACACGTAAAAAAAATATCTAGATAGACAATAATATGCTGTTTATGACAACTTTTAAAACTTAAGGCGCCTTACTCATCGGCTCGGTACAGGTTCGTTTTGTTTGCGGGAGTGACTGTCAGTGGTAAAGTGACGAGAACATATGTAACTGTTTACAGTTGGAGTCCAATCTTTACGTTTAGTTGCACTTATACAAAGTTCCTTCATCTTGGCACATTTTGGAAACCTATGAAATAAA